ATTTCGATTTGTGTGAAATGTCAAAAACTCATGTAGAATGTTTCAAAATAAAAAATATTTAATGTACAAAAACTTGGCGCGGCTGCACTTTGTCTTTAGTTTTAGGTTATTGTTTATTTTTTACTATTGTAATTTAAATAAACTTATATTTCATACATTTATAGATAGTATTAATTAGTACAACTGATTTATACTATGGTAATTATGTGTATGTATAAAAAAATTGTACCGTAATAAATATAAATTGTCAGACGCGGGCGATTACGTGTGATGCCTGACGCGATCAGCTGATCGCTACGCACTGTTTCTATATCTTTTTCTATTTCTCTCTCTCTCTCTCTCTCTCTCTCTCTCTCTCTCTCTCTCTTTTTCTCTCACTTATTTACTTACTCATTCGTAATTTGTATTAATCCGTGCATCACATAAATTACTGTCAATCACGGTGAGTTGCGCCGCCCCTGCCTACCTCTTGGATCCGACTCATGGTACGTCATGGTCAGGGATGCCAGATTCCGGCCGCTTGGTAGCATGCGGTAGCATGGAGGAGATACGCACACAGCTTCATGCCGTGTACGTGTGCGCTCGAGCTTCGGAGTCCGAACACGACATGAAGCTGTGTGCGTATCCCCTCCATGCTACCGCATGCTACCAAGCGGCCGGTATCTGGCATCCCTGGTCATGGTACGTCAACGATTTTTATTAGTAACTCAAACAGTAAGCTTCAAACAAAATTTTACCAAATAAAAAGTTGTCTTAGAATTTAGTCAAGAATATGTATTTTCAAAAATAACGGGTTGTTCTGAATCATCCTGTATGTACATTTATACAGAGTGTCTGACAACGAACTATAAAGCCGACGTGTGTAGGTAGATCGAGTCATTCTGAACAGAAAAGTTATATACTATTTTGCAAAATTCGCAATATTTATTGAGATATGAATTAATAAATGTGAACCAATGAAGGCGCGGGGAGCGATGATCGGACTCTCTAGGCGTGCACGATTATCAGATGAAAAGAAAAATGGCTTCTCTCATGTAATGTCTTAGTAACGAGAGGCGGAGTAAACAAACAAGCGCGGAACGACTCAGTTTCTTGCGATCGGGCGGTACGCAGCGAGCAGCGGCGAGCGAGGAGTAGAGCTGATAATTGTGCACGCCCATAGAGTCCGATCATCGCTTCCCGCGCCTTCATTGGTTCACATTTATTAATTCATATCTTAATAAATATTGCGAATTTTGCAAAATGGTATATAACTTTTTTGTTCAGAATAACTCGATCTACCTATACACGTCGGCTTTATAGTTCGTTGTCAGACACCCTGTATGTGTAATATTTTTAGTATAAAATAACAATTATATAATAAAAATGTTATGCACACACACAGTTTTTTTTGTATAATACATATTTGTATAATACATTGATAAAATACATATTAAGAATAAAGCGTCTATGTTTCAAATAAAAGTTGTAGGGATTTTGCACTTTAGCAAAAGATATGTATTATATTTTATATAAGATTATATATTTCTTAAAATATTGGATTTTTAAATACTTGGTGGGAAATTGGAAGTTCTTTTTTAATTTCACATCAAAATCTCAATTTTTGTTTACTTTAGTATTTCTGTATTGTTTCTGTTTAAATTTGCAATGAGAAAAACTATTTTTAGAATTTGCATGGAATTTCCATTTATATGAGATATGTGTATACTTAATAGGAATTGGAATTAATTTGTAGCGTTTTTTTAATGAAAAAAAATTATTTATTTTAAATGAAAATCAAAAAATACATTAATTAAAGTATTGCTTTCTCCTACTTTTGACCATCTTTCGGGCAGGGAACGAATACCGTGTCGGAAGAACGCTTCGTCTTTAGATGCAATTCACGAATCGACCCATTTTTGACAATCTTTGGAAGAAGTGAACTTCTGCTCAGACAGGCTATGAGCCATCGGACGAAACAAATGGTAATCAGAAGGAGCAACATCTGGAGAATACGGCGGGTGGGGCAGGACTTTCCATTTAAGTGTTTCCAGGTATGATTGTACCGGTTTTGCGACGTGCGGACAAGCATTGTCGTGCAGCAAAATGACTTTGTCGTGTCTTTTGGAGTATTCCGGCTGTTTTTCTTTCAATGCACGGCTCAAGCGCATCAATTGTAGTCGGTAGCGATCCCCAGTTATAGTTTTATTCGGTTTCAGCAGTTCATAATAAATCACACCCCTCTGATCCCACCAAACACAGAGCAGGAGCTTAGACCCATGGATATTCGGCTTTGTCACTGATGTTGATGGTTGGCCGGGCTTAACCCATGACTTTCTGCGCTTCGGATTGTCGTAATGGATCCATTTTTTATCACCGGTGACAATTCGATGCAAAAAACCTTTTTTTTCTCCCGTTGAAGCAGCAGTTCACACGTCAAAAAACACTTCCCCGCAAAAACACTTTATTCGGCACAAATTTTGACAAATTCAATAAATTATAAAGTGTTGTTATTTACAATTCAAAAAAAGGTTATGTAAAGCAAATGACGTCCAATGACAGCTGTTTCACGATGAATACATTACTGTAGGTAACAACAAAATACTGTACTACCAACGCCATGTCTTGTAAAACGCTACGAATTACTTCCAACACCTAATACTTTAGACATTCTACTTGAAATCTAAATTTAGGAATATGTTGGGAAATTTTTATGCGGATTCTTGTTAATTAGTTAGTCGTGTAAATTTGTGAGATCGGCAATCGGCGATGATCTCCCCACTTTGGATAGTTTGTCCAATTTTTGGAGAAGGGAAAGGGAGAGAGTTAGTTTTTTGATCACGCCACTCGGACTTTTGGATGTTTACCGAGTGATAAATAAAAAAATTTTGAGTTATTGTTCTTGATAGTAAATTCTATTTGCGTCAGCTGCTCTAATTTTTATGAGCTCTATTTTTCTCGACCTAGGTTTGTTTGGAAAGTTGCTCGGAAATGTTTAAAGAATAAATTTTTCTTGCTCGCTATCGTTTCAAGGTGGACTTTTTACCCTATAAGCACACAATATTCTTAGAATATTCTAGAGTATTCTATAAATATTAATAGTACGTTTAATATTCCAAAAATGTGATCAGAATATTACTTGATATGAAATAATATTATGCGCTTATAGGGTAGAATTATTACTAGGCGCGGTTTAGTTTTTTGGTTGCCGACACTATTTCTAGTGTCTTTTATTTGCGCTCCTATCGTTTCGAAGTCCGAGTCTCAAACTCCGTTCGAGTTATTTATTGCTTCTATTTGTAAAAAAAGCAAGGTTGGGTAAGTTAAATTTTTTTTTTATTTAAGTTAAGTTACAGTTAAAGATCTTGAAAATTTTATTTAGTTAAGATATAAGTTAATCCATAATGAAATTAATTGATTAAAAGTTAAGTTAATAAAAAAAAATAATTAACAAGTTAAAAGTTAAATTTTTTTCCATGATTGTAGTGTTTTAGTCTTACAAATAATTACAAACATTTACAGTGTTTTAATCTTACATATAATGNAAAAAATAAATGTACACTTTATTTAGAAATATACTTTATATATTTTATTATAAAAACATAGATACATCTGTTTTGTTTATTTATAGATACATAGATACATTTATAAACACATGTTTTACAAATATATATTTTTTGGTGACAAACAAACANATTTACTATATATATTTTGCTTACAAAACCTTATTAAATTTAAGTAATAAAGCCATTTCGAAATTTTTATCAGACATTTTTCCTCGAAGATTATCAAAAACGTGTCCTCCTGCACTAAACAGCCTTTCAGCGTGAGCTGAAGATGGTATTGATGTATTATATTTTATAAAAGCACGTTTGAGTGCCTTAGGAAAATCTTTTTCCGTCGCAAATGTATTGGTTGACAAGTAAGTTTGAATAATGTGATCGGTTATAATCGTATTTTCGTTTTGGTTTTGGTCTAACGTTTTGTTTTTAAATAGAAAAAAATTGTCAACTTTGCACACGATTTGTTNTTTGAAAGTACTCGAATTAACTTCATGGCTAGTATTAAACTCCTGAACACTTGATTTTAAAAGTGTAATAATCTCTTTTTTTTCATTTTCATCCTGTATCNAACGCAATTTAAAATCTGGTATCAAACAGGCAGCAATTCTCAGATCGTTAGACTTATAAAGATGGTGAAATCTAAAAAAATATTGATATATTTTTTTATATTATGTAGTGTAATAAGAATAACAATAAAATTATTGACGCATTTAAAAATTTTTTATCTTTCTTGTATAGTTCTATAAATATTTTACTTAAAACTTCAGTTTGATGTCAAAACTTTNAATTATCCTTGAAAATATCCATAAAGTTTCATAAAACAGAAAGCTATTTATTAGTTAAAAATTAATTGTCATCTTACTTTTCGAACTAAATCCAATAAAACACACATTCTTAATTTATATACTATTCTTTGTCTACTTATAATCGTTACAACAAACCTTTTGCGAATACCTTTCAAGAGGGCATTTACTAATGGTTGTACATACAGCACCTCACTTAGTTTTTGATTTAAATGCTCTTCGATTGATATTAATGTAGGCAATAAATATCCCATAAAGATATGCTTATCTCTTTGTAAAATATCTAGACCTTCGGCAACAGGTCTCATTACCTAAAATGTGAGATAAAATTAGTATATTATGTTTGTAAATTTAAAAAAACGAAAGCAAAATCATTACCGTGCAATATTCTTTAAGGAAGTCAATTTCGGTAGGAGTTAAAGTGGGAACATTTAAGGAAGAAGCTAGATCATTCACTTGTTTAATATCTGTTACCTCCACTATAGCATCGTAAAACGAATTCCATCTAAATTACATGCAAGTAAAAAGTTAAAAACCAAACCATGCACAATAACAAACCAAAAACCAAAACGCTTTAATAAAAATATTATTGTGTTTATTCATAAAACACATAATTGTCACTTTTATATAATATAAACATATAACTTATATACATATATACGTATATATTAGAGTGGCTAAAAAACACGAAAAAAAAACAAAAAATGTTGGTCCTAGGAAAAACAATATTAAATTTTAAGGCATGTATTAGGAGACATGCTACAATAGTAACCGATTAGGCTTATCTTGTGCATTTTTTTATCGATTAAAAGATAAGTNGAATGAGGAAACATAAACATATTTACAAGATATAGGCCAACCTAATGTATANATATAAAAATATATATTATTTCCCATTATTTCTCATGCATATTAATTATTTCCTAAGTATTGATACACTTATTTCTTATATCAATCACTAATTCTTACCTTGTAGTGTTTGGAACTTTTAAATATTTTCCAAGACTTTTTTGAACCATATCTGCTACGACAGATGATTGATTTTGTTTGTTAAAAATAGTTTGACATTTTNCAAATGCTCTTCTGCTAATTCCTTTATAATTAGTATCTTTCTCAGCACAAGCCGTATCAACGGTACTAACTAAATTCAATGTATGAGAAGCACATCTCTGTTGAGGTGGTAATCTGTAGCTTTCTTCACTATTAGCCAAAAATTCCGATATTTCAACCGATTCTAGACCTTCTTCAGGTTTGTTTTCTATTTTATCTTTTTCTTCAATTTCACTGTACACTCTGTAAATAATAATTATAATTCTACAATATTAATTATGAAGCTTTTTTTAATTACAAAATTTTTTATTTATTTTGTAAATTTCTCTTTATTTTGTAAATTAATTTTGTAAATTTTTTGTAAATTTTGTAAATTTTATTTATTTTGTAAATTTAAATGTGAATGTATATCTCTACGTAATTAAACTCGTGAGACACTAAATTTACCTAAAAGCTTTTTCAAAATTTCTAGCATTATCCGTTACAACACATCTTGTCTTATCTTGAATATTAAATTCAATTAATATCAATTCAATTGTCCTTGCAAGAACATCGTATGTATGTCTTCCTTGAAGTCAACGGCACGCAAGACCTTTTGACTTTCTCTCTAGACTATCATGATCCAACCAATGTACTGTCATCCCCAAGTAGGATCTTANAATGAAAATATAATAATTCGATCAATGGCCAATAACCGTGAATAAAAGAGACGATTTATAATAAAATTGTTTATATAAAATAGNTCGGACTACCTTTTAAATGCTGTCCAGCAATCTGCTGTTACACACACCCAATCTTCTTTTTTTAGCTCTTCGATCAGGTCTATTTTCATTTTTTCGAACGTTTTATCGATATGCATCATGAGAGTTTTGCGAGTTATAGGCGTTTGCTGAATTGTTTTACAAAATTCNATAAATGCTTCATGCTCGACAAGTGAAAATGCAGATGCAGTATTTATAATCAGTGTTTTAAAGTGGCTTGGTCAAATTTTTGCTTAGTTAAAAAATTATTGTTTCTTAAACTATCCAATCTCCTTTGCTTTAGCTTTGATTTATCAAAATTTTTGTGTATCAAATTTCTTTTAACTGCTCGTAGTCCATTTTTCGAAGCTTTGTTAAAATCATCCAATTTACTAGGATGTATATGCTGTATAACACATAAGATTATTCACATGATAGTTACATATTAAATATTATAGCTTAATTTGAAGAATTGGGATAGTTTTATTAATTAAATTATGCATTTTAGAAAATATTTGTTNATAAACTGTCGAAACAAAGATACATAAAAAGTAAAGATTCAAATTTTTGTTCCTTCCTGACGATCTTTTTCGCGATTCGACAGTAATCTCATTAAAATCAATTATATTGAAAAAAAAAAAATATATATATATATATGTGTGTGTGTGTGTGTGTGTGTGTGTGTGTGTACATATATTTTTATAATAACTTACTTTGATGTGCGTTCTCAAATTTGAGTTTGAAGACACTGACGCCGATATATATTTTTTTGCGGGTTTACACAAGATGCACAGAAATGACAATTTTCCGGTTTTTTTATCGTGAGTATCAAATTTAAAAAAATCGCAAAGATGAGACCACGTGCATAGCATGCTTTCGTGATNGACAGCAGATTGCGACGAATCACACAAATCGAAATCTTTTTCACTTGACGTAAATTCGTCACTCGTGTCAACACTCATTATGTGTTTTTGCACACAACTTCACAACTACACAGGAGACTTGCAATTACCAGTGTTCACAGGTTGAAAGTAAAA